ACCCTTTTGTCAAATTTTGCATGTTTTAACTCCTTTTTTGGCGTTTTTCTGTCCTGTTTTAGGTCTCTGGCTTGGCAAAAAGAAGATGGCCGTCGCCTCCACCCTCCTGATTACACAAATAGCATGTGCACTTCTATGCTTCTGCCGCTTTTTGCTTGCATTTGTAAAACACAGCACACTGGTATGGCCTGAGTAAGAAGCAAGCTGTGTCCTGGTCGTCCCATATTATTGGTTTTTTGTAATGAGAAAGTCATCCAGGCGTGACCGGTGGCTTCCGAAGAAAATGGCAGGGGAGAGGATGAACGTCTTGAGAAATAGGGAACAAATGCGCACATAATGTAACTGCATACTGGCTACAACGAAATGCTTCCTTTATTTTCTCAGTGCTTCTGGGTTTATATTACAATTTTAAGTTATAGGGACATAAAGTGTTCCACTATCTGTTTGACTAATAAAGGAACACGATTTAATTTGGAAGAAAAAAGTCCGGCTGTAATTTCTAACAGTAATATGAAGAAGCTGCGAGGCCTTCAGTGTTGAGAGTGACTGAATGTAGCCAAACAGTACTTTTTTTACATTATTTGGAAGAAATCTCAACATACTTTTTTTTTCAGGCTTTCACTCAAGCAGTCCCGGTGTTTTATTTTAGTCTCTGCCTACAAGCATATTATTATTGCTCCTGTTACTGCTACTATTACTATTTTTCGTACTGTGTTTCTGCGGTTCCTGTCACTGTACAAATACTCCTTCAAGAGTTTGTTTTGACCCCCTATCCATCTCCGGTAAACGTACTTGTTGTGGCCCAGTGAAATAAACGCCCGGTGACGCGTCTTAGCCCAGTGACACATTTGTGTAAATTTTTGCACTGCACTTCAAATTTGCGCTTTCTGTTTTTGGGTTAAAAAATTTGTATATTAGAGAGGGGGGAGGGAAATTTGCATAAATTCACACATTTCCTCCTCTTCCCTATTGCTTGTGTGGTTTATTCATCCTACATCTACGCTTGCGTCGTCCAGATTCGCCTTGATGAACAGTACCCTTCGTAATTGTTCGAAAATCCTTAAAATCAGTGGTAATGGAGTTGCTACAGCGACAGCTTCGGCAACTGCATCAGTAATCAGTGAACCGAAGAAGTTAGTTCTTTTTC